TCTGACCTGCAATTTCATAAATAAGCGGATTTAGCGGCAAGCGACCAATCGCAAACACTTGAGAAAAATGCTCCGAAAATAATTGACAACCCAATTATTTCAAAATTTCTACAAATTGTCTAAAGGAACAATCACAAATTCGTGTGCCAAAATTTCAGAATATAGAATAATAATCGAAAAGCATCGATGTTTGCCTCGGCATCGCAAGATCATTTACACTTTTTAGAATTATTCAATCGTCGGCATTCCGCAGCTTAATAAAATTACAATCTGACCTATTCAAAAAATAAATTTCTAATGAAGTGAACGGCGCAAAAATCTCTAGTATTTTGTACCGTATCAAAAAAAAAGTAATTCTTCCAGATGACATAATCTCAGATATAGATGCCAATTTCCGAAGTGGTCAATATATCACAAAATACAGTAATTGAATTTTTCATTTTTGAAAGCTATCCAGTTTTAAATTCATTTACTGTATTCAATATTCATTCGGCTCATAATGCGATCGATTCCATCAGTTTGAACGTATTGCGTCACTCGGTGCAATCAGCTTGCAATTTCATTTCGTAGGAAGTCAAAATTCAACTGCACAATATTCTGAATTTAGCGCACGATAAGTTTCCAATCTGCGAAAAAAAATTATCAATTGACTGGCTCATCATCTCAAATTGTAAAAAAATGTATGTTGTAAATTATTTGTAGCAATGTTGCTTAACCACAGGGCTAAAACTGGACTTTCTTCTAGAGTGCGGAAGATGAAATGATCATTTGATGTTATTTTGAATACTTATTTTCAGGTTTTGACGGCAGGAGTGGTAAACAGTTTTGGTGTGATTTATATGGTCCCATTGCAAGAATTCCAAAGCAGTGCAGCTTTCAAATCCTGGATTTTCAACGTTGGCCGTGGGTTAGGGTACATGTCTGGTGAGTTGAACATTCCTCTGTCAATAACGCGTGTATTTGATTTTAATTTTTTTTAAAGAATCTCTCAATAAAATTTCTGTCATTCGTAACTTTGCAAGTCAAGATTTCCTAGACTTCCGAAGAGATGGTTCTGAACTGTTGAACATAATATAAAAGATGAATGTCATTTTTGTTTTTGAATTCGCAGGGTTTATGGCTGGTCCTTTGAGTACAGCGTATGGACACAAGATCGCAATGATTGGCAGTTGCATGGGTCCTGTCGGACTGACAATTTCGTCTTTTGCAGAAACACCGTACCTTTACATCCTGTCTCATACCATTTTAGTCTGTGAGTGACACATGAACCGAATTATTTGACTTGTATTGAAAAACGAGCGCCGAAAAACCAGTGATATAAAAATGAAAAATGCTCCCTGGAACAAACCATGATCCGTTTTCTTGGATCACATTTTTGATCCCTTGATATTCTATGTTTCAAGATAGTTTTGGACGCACTGGGGAATTGAAAGCAATCTTTTTTCATTAATCAGTATTCAATCAATCACTGATAAATCAACGTGCGAGAGGACAGATCATTTTTCAAGTGAAAAGAGTTCGTTTAACGTGCATCCGTGCAGAAATACTCGAGAAAACATGAAAGTTTCAGAAAGAGATCCATATTTACAATCATTTATTGATCGTTTGTCTTTTCTTTGCCGTTTTTGTGCATGATGAGGGTTTTTCTTTGTATTCTTAGATATTGGATGAATCGGGGATAATTTATTAATTTATTTTTCTTTCCTTTTTATTTTTAGCAATGGGATTTGGATTTTCGCACTACGTCCTCTACATCCACATGCAAAAGTCCTTCCACAAACACAGAGGTTTGGCCACGGGGCTTTTTGCAGCCACAAGAGCAGCAAGTGGAGCACTTATGCCACAAATGGCGAACCTCATGTCGGAGAAATTCGGCTACAGAATCATGATGCGGATCCTCGCGGGCCTCAGTGGACTTTCCTTCCTTTTCGCCTTCATTCAAACCCTGCACATCCCACCCAGCGACTTGTTGGACAGTCAGACCAACAAGCCAGAGAAAAACAACAACAATAATAATAATAATAATGGGACCGATGACGATGATAATGAAGAAGGAAGCGATTTGTCGAAGACGCAGTCGGTGGTGGAGTTGCTGGAAGCGAGCGATTCGAAACTCGCGCAGTCTTGGCAAAAACTGCGGAATTCCATGGATTTCTCGGTGCTGAAAGAACCGAGTTTCCTGATCTTCACTGCCGTGGATTGTTTGCTGTCGTTCACGATGACGAACGTGTTTCTCACACTGCCGTTTTTTTCTGTGGAGCGAGGGTTTGAGCCTTGGGTGGCGGCGTCGTTGCTGACGACAACGTCGGTGGCGGAAGTGCTCGGGGGACTCGTCATCCCGCCGCTTTTCGACGTGCCCAGAGTGAATTTCCTGTATATTTTTTGCGGTCTGCAATTCCTCGGCAGCATTTTGTTTGTTGGTGAGTCATGTCGAAAATCGTGACACATTTTTTTTATTGGAATGGTGATTTTTCTGCATATAAGTCTATATAAATTGATTCCCCCAAGGTCTCATTATTGACCGATGCTGGCTAGAAAATTAACTCAAGGGGTTTACGTCGTATCACAAACTTTGAAATGTATCAAAATTCTTCTCCATACTGTGATGTTTTGGCCTTTGAAATTTAGCATTTTGTTGTTCAGTCGGCCGAAATTTCAATGCACACGCTGTAAAATAAGAAGAACACGCTCGTTGATCAATTCAATCAATTGAATATAGGCGAACATTTTGTTGCATTGCTTCTTAGTTAACGTTTGCTGTATTTTGAAATCTCTATTTTTTAAAATTCCTTTGGGTGATGTGCAATGATTTAGCTGTATTTTTCGCAAAGTTTCCAGAATACGACAATGATTGATAACTGCGGGGACATTTTTTATATTTTATTTCAGCGATTTCTTCGATTTTCGGACCTACGGAATAATTTTAAAAATGTTAGAATGGCAGACGAATAACCAAACTTAGTCTGTTAGACAGCTTTAAACTTCAAAAAATGGCAGTACAGTATTCAGATTTACAATCGGTTATTTGAATTAAAATTTTGGATGTCTTATCGTCATTCACTTTTTTATATTATGTTACGGACAACCATTCTGCTCCTATAAATTATACTGTTGCATCGATACAGTTCGAAATAAATCTTGTTGGAACAACATTTTACTATTCAACACAAAAAATTATTATTTTTAAATAATTTTCTCTAGTTATCATTATTTTACCAACTAGCATGAATAATTGTTTCCTTCTTGATAAACTTGGGTAATATTTTGGTTTTTTTGTTTTTACTCAGGTTTGAAATCATTGAACTCTTATTTCAGAAAAATTGTCGACATTTATTTAAGCAACTCGAGTTAAACTTATATATTTGCATGAAGTCTTTTTGCCTTCCTAGAAGTGTGTTGTCAAAAATTTTGACCTGTATATTCTGTAAAAACACAAATTTTACTAACATGTACACGCGTATGCTGCAATTGAATTCGTAACATCATATCTAATCTATTTCTGTGCATTTCTCTTGATTCTTTTCCAGTTATTGGATTCGATGTGGACAAGATTGGCATGATTGTGATATGCGCAGTTTTTGGCTTGGTTCGTAGTGGCACAGTTGGTATGTGCAACGTTTTTCTCATCAGACAGCTGACAATAAAACGATTTCCGTCGGCGCTGTCGGCGAAAGTGCTGTTCAAATTTGGCATGTTTTGCATCGGTCCTATCACTGGTAAGTTCGAAGAATCATTGCCACGATTATTCAAGTTTTTAATATTTTCGAAGCTTCGAGGATCGGTTAACAAGTTTTGTCGTCATCCCTTCCTCATTGTTAGCATTCTTGCGTAAATGTGAATTGGATACGTATGCTTCGAAATTTTGCGCATTAAGGTTGATAACGACTGAAAACTGAAAACAGTAGTTTAAAAATGAAACCGATAATTATCAGGGAAGCATTGTTCTCATGCAACATCCACATTATATGTGTAGTTAAAAATTGCAATGAAACAGCACAAAACATGGAAAAATCTGCATAGTGAGAATTTCCGACATTTCACAGCACTGGAAAAAAAAAATGTTCCCATGAAAAAAAAAACAAGTTTAAACCTCGATGAATTGTTTTGTTTGTGATTTTAAATGCTCAGCTTCAACAAGAACGTTAGTTGTTGATCAAGAAATTGATCATTCAGGTAAACAATCGGGATTAGAGAAACCCCTCAGCAACTGAACAAAGACTTACTTGAATTATTCTTTTTTTAAATTCTGACTGGTGTCCGATTTGGCGGCCGATCCAGATTATAATTTATATAAAGAGCAGACCTGCTGATAAGTACCAGGAAATTTTACCGTGATCAAGTCTGCTGTACCACCTAATTTTAGATACCTTATTCTTGGAATCAGGAAGAACTGGAAGCTATCACACGCCTATTTGGCGTAAAATCTTTTTTTCTAATTACAGCAGAGACCGAGGCTCATGTGACTAGAAAAAGTAAAAATATATTCAAGGTTACTGGTAAAATCTTTAAAAGGCGATCGAAAACAGGTTGGAACAATCAGAAACATATGGCAGCATTTTTTGCTTCGTCTCGGCGAATTCTTTAAAAAAATGTTTCGAATTAATTATTCAATAAACATCTTTTTTGTATCTCGTGAACCGGACTAAATGACGGGTTATTTTGATCCAACACTAGAGGCTTTTGAGAATCTTCGAAACATGGTTTGAAAAATTCAAAATGTAAAAAAATTGGTACAGTGCTAATAATTAAAATCGCTTCAGATACTGACAAAACCTATTGATCAACCCTCGAACATTTGTCAGGAGATGAAAATTAAATTTCAAGCATATCGTGTAGATATTTCATTTCTTAATATCGCGAGTAATTGTTGGGCCAAAACTGTTGGTCATAATTCGCGCTGGAAAATAATGTTGAAATACTTTCATAGCAGTCCAAAACTGTTGGTCATAATTCGCACTGGAAAATAATGTTGAAATGCTTTCATTGCAGGTCACATAGTGGACCTGACAGGAAGTTACAAGACTTCGTTCTTCATCTTCGGAGGGGTAATGGCAATGACAGGAATCGCGTCAGCAACGTTCCCGTGCTTTATAAAACTGAAGAAGAAAGAAGCCTACGAAGTTAACGTTTGATGGTAAGGAAATGTTTCCTTCGTATTGAAAATCGTGCTATGAAAAAAAACAACAAACTGACTGGTTTCTGCATAAATTATTTATTTCAGAGCCAAGAAATCGAGATTCAGCGACTCGAAGCAGATTAGATATTTCGCAAAACGACCAGCCATTGAGTATTTTGATGCAGTGCAAAGAAAAAAGCACGCGTGCTTCGGAGAAGGAGGAAGAAAAAAGGGTCATTTGTGCCTCTTGTTTTTTGTATTCATCGCGATCGAAAGATATATTTTGATAATAAAAGTCTAAATGCCAAAAATGGATGCTGGAAAAACTTCGGGTGCATAAAACTTGAGAACATTTTGTTGAAGAGAGACAGAAAATGTCGTTGTGTATCGGAAATTTCCGAATTGACCGCTTTCACCGTGTAGGTTGTGAAGCGTTCAGTAAATTATTGGTTGAAACGTGATTTTTATTCCGAAAAATGTCAGAATCGTTTAATTTTTGGAAATTTCGAATGTTTTGTTTTCATTTTCGTATAGAATTGTCATTCATTTTTTTTCTATAGCCAAGAAATTGACTGAGAAAATGAGCCGAACATGTTGACGTTGTTCGTTTGATTGAATTGACAAGTTTTTTCTTGAAATCGTTTTTGGTGTGTCGTGGAAAAATTGAAGCTTGTAAAACGAAGGAAGGAACAAATCCGGCTTAATGGAGCGATTTCATTTAGAATTTCAGGAAAGATCGCTGCTTTTTTGTTCAAATGAAATTTTGGAGAATTTTCTGATTTCTCGCGGCCATATTTCCGCACCGTGTCATAAAAATTTTCAGCAAAATTTTATTTGGCAAAAGGATGAGAATTCATTTCAGGCATCGCCATCTTTTGCAGCTTCGGTGAAACAACTAATTCTTGTCATATTTTCCATGCATCGAGCAATTTTTTCTGAATTCTACGAAAATAAAAATTTGTTTGTCTTGTCAACTTATATTCGACACACGGCGGAAACTGAGCTTTTGTTTCCCGACCCGGATCCGATTTGTTGTCTTGATTCAAGATTACCCAAGTGAAATTTTATTAATTTTTTTATTCGTGTTCGAACCCGAGGGTTCGAACAAGAAAAACGCAGAATTGAATAATCCATCAATTCAAACCGGTCTCAATTTCCAGATTTCCTTTGACCAGATCATCGGGTTTTGCAAGATAATTCCAATCAATGAGCAATTATATAGGCCATTAATCTTCCAGGCATTTATCAAGTCTCAGAAGAAATGAAATTTTTAAAGGAATGGAAAAATATTTCACGATACTGTATAACATATGGCTCGATATCACCAACATTCCCAAATTGAGGGTGGAAGTGCGCTAGCCAAAATAATCATCTTGGATAATTGGTTGTTATAGTTGGAAATGAGGTCACTCAAATTCAAATTGAATAAAACTCGAGGTTTCCTCTCGAAAAATCAAAATTTGTGCAAATTTAAAAAAGCAGGGTATTAGTCAAAGCTAAAGCCTGGATGATCAAACTCGTATTTTAAAACTTCCATGTACAGTATTGTATGAATATATGACGTCATTCGTTTAATCGCCAGGCCGACTCTTATTTCCTCGTCGTTTTCTCAACAATAATCAACGATGAATAAGCAATAAAAGAGAGTGACTTGTTTCTTCATTATTGACAGCATGCATTTCTGCTCCGAAAGCCAAGCACATCAATTTTGCCAGGCTCAAGCACAACTGA